CACAGAAACAGTACTATATAACATTTTAGACACATTCTAGACAGTTTATCAGCTAAAAAAAGTTAATTTTGGGGTAAGTTACTCTTTAAGTAGTTCACGAAATCAAACTATTTCTACCTACTTTTTTATTGGTGTATCAAAATGTTCAGGTCATACTGGAGATATGTTCTGCGACTTGGAAATTTTTGTCATTTTTATACTTTTTAATATATTTAACTTTTTTCAAATAGAAACACATTGAGATCTCAACGCTTGCTTCAAAAACATTATTTTTGACATATGTGTCAGCACACTGTACATGCTGTATTTTGTAATATGCCTCTTTTAGAATTTAGCTACCATTAAACTATTTTTTAGCTTTTCACAACCATTCAGCTATTTTTAGTTTTTAACATCCATTCTGCTACTTTAGGTTTTAGATAGAATTTTGTGACTTTTAGGTACCATTTTGATAATTTTAGTTTAGTTTGGATGTTTTAGGACAGGCTTTTTCTACTTTTAGCCTCACTTTTTGATACTTCTAACTAGCTGTTAGTTGTCTGTATTTATTCAACATTTTACTTTTAGCTTTTTTAGCCATATTTTTTTACATTTAGCTTCTAACTAGCTTTTCAATACTTTAAGCTATCTCTGTGATACTTTATTATTTTTTTTTACCAAGAACTCTGCTATTTTCAGTTTATAGATAGCTTTTCACTACTTTCAGCTTTTAGCTAGTATTCTGCTTCTTTTAGCCTGAACACCGTAGTTTCAGTTTTCATTAAACTTCAGCAGTCATCCAGTATTTAAGACTGACAGTGCATTTTGACAGAAAATGTAATTTTTCTCCATCTCCATTTTCTGCTGCTTATCCATAGTCGGGTCGCAGAGGCAACAGGTCCAGTAGAGAAAACCCAGACATCCGGCATCCAGGAGGCATCCTRATCAGATGAACCACCTCAACTGACTCGACTCAACTCTGAGATCCTCCCTGATTACGGAGCTCCTCACCTTATCTCTACGGCTGAGCCCAGCCAACTACGAAGGAAGCTCATTTCAGCAGCTTGTATCCAGGATCTGGTTCTTTGGGTCATGGTCCACACCTCATGACCACAGGTGAGGGTTGGAATGTAGGCAAACAAATAAATCCAGAGCTTTGCCTTTTGACTCAGATTTCTTCACCACAATTGACCAAGGCAACACCTTCATTACTGAGGATGAGGCCCCAATCCGTTGATCCATCTCCTGTTACATTCTACCATTAATCAAATAAGACACCTAGAAACTTAAAACTCCTCTACTTGAGACAGAGACTCTCCCCAAACTCAGAGGGGGCCTTCCACCCTTTTCCAGTTAATAACTATGGCCTCAGTATAACCTGATATTTAAAAAAACTGTATTTAGTTTTCCTCCTATTGTGAAAAAAGATTAGTTTTGTGTCTGACGCCACTCTGTTGCCAAATCACATTGTCATGTGACAGTGGGTGGCAAATCTGTGTGCTTTATTTTCTGGAAGTGGCTGGCCATGTCATAAACTATTATAGACTATCATGCAGTTCTATGTAAATTGTTTTAGTGTCACACACTGTTATACACAGTCTTGCAGTGTCATGCAGTGTCTACAGTGACTTGCATGACATTCCATGTTGTGACTTGAAGAAAGTAAAAGGATTTCCAGACTGCAGCTTAAGAGGTTAAAGCTTACAGGATGATGTCTCTGAGAATAGAGCAGGACGAATGTGGATAGAAGCTACATGCTCTTCATGCACAGGATGTGATGCAGTCTAGGATTACTTTTTTTGTCTGTTTACTTCAGTACCATCACAGTCCATCCAAACACAACTTCTGCTTCTCTCCACAGCTGAGAAGCACGTGAAGCACAAAGCCAGTTAGGAGCCGTCCAACTTCTGTGAGGACATGAAGGCAGAGCTGAAGACTGGCATGAGGGAGTCAAGTTGCCTCATTACAACTGACAACCCTGAGAACTGAAAAGACCTTGAATGGCTGACATGAATGTGTCATAATACAAGTTTGTTCTTGCTGTAGATGTTAAAAATATTTGAAAAGCTAAAATGCTCTTTCTGTTTTAATTTTTACATCTTTAAATTGGAATGGACAATTAAAAACTCTTCTTTTCACATTTTATCATGGTTTCTGTTTTACCTTCATTCAGTGACTCAGACATTTGCATGGGGCACCGTGCTGGAGGGGGCGCCAAAGCAATGAAAATTCATTCTAGTTGTCATTTTCTGTAACAGATGTTTGTGCACGTGTGCATACATATATGATCAATAACAGAGACACTGTGCTGATTAGACGCCCCTCTGCTCCTTCACCTCCTCTCCTGTTGCTCCTTTAGACACACACACAAAAGTTTCTCTCATTGTTGCAGCTGTATGACGAAAATCGAATCATGTTGGCAGCTTTGGATCTGCTGCCTAGTGTTGCCAGATGGGAAATGTTGAATTATCGTATCAGCAGCTCAAAATTATCGTATTTTGAGGAAAATTATCGTACACACCCAAGTTAC